ACACTTGTGTTGCCGACACAGTTTCTGAACCCTCTGGGTCTTCCCACACAGGACGGTGACAAAGAGGAGCTTCGTCCCCCATGCAGCCGCCAGGACGCATGAGGCTGACTACAGATCCCACCGACGGGGCTGACTGATGCGCCACAAGAAAACGTCACCGACTGAGCCCTTGCATCTTGCACAGAGCCTACGAGTTAAGAAAGGCCCCAGACGCTGAGCTTGATCTCCTGCTCGATGCAGAAAATCCTCTGCGGGGTCTCCAGGACCGGCGGCCCATCCGCGTGCCACCGCACACGTGCACATGCACAGCCACGCAGGAAAGGCTCATGCACACCTGTTGGAGGTGCTAACTTGACTTTTCTGCCGCCCTATTAGGGAAAACGGGAAAGCAGCAGAGCATAAGTGCCCAGCGCCCCAGAAGCATCCACACTAGCACCAGCACCGCCGTGACTGGGGCTCGGCTGCTATTGGGGCACAAACTCCACTCAGCATCATGACAATGGTGACGAGGCTCGCTGGAGAATCTTGTCCCAGCTTGACAGACGCCACCCTCTCTAGCACATTCGTGCATCTGTGGCCTCAGGGCGACCGCATCCCTGGAAAGGTCCGGCTCCCACAGGCTCCCACCTCACAGCACCTTCGGCTGACCCTCAGGCCAGGCCCGGGCTCCCACCCGCCGCGCAGACGGCCCTCGGCTGCGGCCCCAGGCCCTGCTGCCAGGTCAGAGCGCGGGGCTGCCTGGTCCTGGGGCTCCAGAAGGGCGACTCCTGTCCCGCCACCCTCACTCCACTCCAATTTCCGGGCAAGAGCTCTGAGCCACCTGCTGCGGCCTCTGAGCCATGAGGCTGCCGCGCTCCGTCTCAGGAGACGCATGGGGGAGGGGGCAGGAGCGGCATGTGGACACCAGGGGAAAAAGAAAGGAAAAGGACTGAGGATAAAACAACATTCTGCTGCAGGCGGGCTGGGGGCCCTGGCAGGCTGCAGCGTCCACCTCGCGGCACAGAAGGGACACCAGCTGTTTGGACAGAGGAGCGTCCAGGAAGTGTGGCGGGGCAGTGGGGAGAGGCAGTCTCCAGAGACTCCTGCCCACCTGGACCAGAAGCACCGGAGACGCTGCCCACGCCCCGCTCCGGCTGTGAGCGCCCCTCCAGGGGCAGCCCCGTGCTGTCGCCCTCATCTGGGGAGGAGACCCAGGCACACGATGTCTGGACCCTGAGCATCTGCTCATCCTACTGCAGGCCCGGCGGCTCCAGGGGCGGTCCTGCCCCACGTGATTGTCTGGGGCTAGGAGCGCCGTGTCCACGGGTCCCGAGCTGAGCCACACGGAAGGCCCGCACAGTCCTGTGACTTACTTTCCTGGCACAACACAAATGGAGACACTGGCCGTGAGGGGGCGGCTCCCATTCTCGGGGCCCCCGTCCCTGGGGGATGTGGCCGGGGCCATGCAGGGCTGCTCTGGACACTGGGTGGGAAGCAAGGGACACCTCTGTCCCCTGTGCTGAAGGCTGTTTTGTCTACCGTGGGCTTGGCCCACTCAGTGACTTCGGCCCTTAACCCCCAAGGATGCAGCCACCCTCACTCAGCCTCAATTTCCCTGTGGGCAGAAGTGTGTGATCACTGCACAAACGGATCTACAGAGTCCAGGCTTCTGCCCCCACTCCACTCGGAGGCCAAGCCTCTCTCTGAGTTGAGCCACGCTGGCCCTCCTGGGGGACTCTTGGGGGCCCTGCTGGGCCCACCACGTTTCTGCACCCTCCAGCTTGGTGCCTGTCACCACTGACAGAAACAAGAGCCACGGGGCTGACTGTGGGCCCCGCAGCAAACCCAAGGGCTGGGTCGCGTCACCTGCCTGGGTCCACGCCCCCAACAGCACCCCAGACAAGCATCGTCTCTGACACCTATGACCCGGCCCTCCCTGTCTGGGGGTTCAAACAAGACAACAAAGCACAGCTTTAACCCACAGGTGATGAGAAGGCGGCCCCCGGACCCAGTCCTCACGGGGCTGTGCCTGACCACAGAGACCTCAGACGCGTCTCGTCACAGACCGGACCGCAGTTGGCCAGGAAAGAAGCCGCATCCCTCACCACATTGCAGCAGATTTCAGGAACTTCAGGGGTGAATGGAAGAGTCTGTCCATGGATGGGAGACCTGCTCAGCCCCCGTGCACGGCTGGGGGCCCCAGGGGATTCGCTGGGCTCTGTGGCTCCCCGGGAACCACAGAAGCACCTCTGTGTCACCAATCCACACTTGACCTACAGTGCTGCCGACCACCCAGTAAGTCACCCACGTATCACTCAGTCAGGGGATCACCAATACCAAGTAGCTGGTGGCTTCTGTTCTCTTGGCACTTTATGCATGGACCTTTGCCCACAGAGTGTGGACGAGGTCGGCTTAGCTCCGACGGGCTTGGTGCTGGCCAAACTCCCTGCTGTCCAGGTCGGCCTGCCATGGAGCTGACCCTCACTAGCCACAGGGATGTCCCGGCTTTAGGGAGCCAATGGTGGGACTCAGAGTCATCGAACGATGACTTTGGATGAAGGCTCGTCTACCTCCCACACCAATTCCCCAGGCTGCTCCTCGCTCCGAGGGGTGCCGCTCACTGGTGACTCACAGGGACGTCCTCCCTTCTGCAGGGCAGATGCGTAAGAACCCTCTCCAGGACGCACGGCCACCGTGCCGGGAGCCCTGCAAGTGATCCACAGGATGGCAGCTCCTGGGACCCGGACACTCACCCTCAGAGACAGACAGCATCCAGGAGCACCACTCAGAATAGACATAGTAGCTTTTCATCTCTGCCACAGAGATCCGGGCTGCGTGTCTGTCCCCCATGGCCCAGGAGCACCAGGGAGACGCTCTCCCTGTGCCCGGTCCTGCTGCCCTCCGTGCTTACCCGCAAGCCTCTCCCACTGAACTTTGCTCCCTAAATCTGCGTGAGGGACCAGCTGACTTGTACTTCCGTTTCACCTCCGAGCTGAGACAAAGCACTGCAAGGAGGTTACCCTCCCGCAGACCAACATCTGCTCACCCCACCCATGTGTGTACATATGTATCCTGGGCGGCCGGCAGGCTTGGGGCGCCGGAGGAGAAAGGAATGTCCGGGCCTGTTTGGCCTTGGTTCGGAGAGGGGACACCTCTGCTGGAGGCGCTCCTGTGCTGCTGTGAAGGTGACAGGATCGTCAGATGCGGGCCGGTCCCACGCTGCCTGCAGAGACGCGCATGCATGCTGGAAGCCTCAAATCCAACGATATGTCCAAAGCAACTCCTCATCTCTCCTGCTTGCATCTGATAAGGTCCGATGCTCCCGACACAGGTGACTATGTCTGGGAACAAACAGAGGCGGAGGCCGTATTTGCCGAGGAGGGTGAGCGAGCAGGGACATGGGCACCTGTTCCAAGGCCCCTCCTATGCTGTCCAGCTTTCTCGGTCTGTGGGTCTCTAACACGTCTGCAGTGTGAAGTGCGAGCCCCACCTGGAGACGCTCTCTCGGAGTCCAGCCAAGGCTTGAGCTGGCTCTTGCCACCATCACTGCTGGCCCTGCCCTGCCCACCACACGGTCTGGGCTCCATGGGGACGGGAGAAGGATACCCCCAGTCCCTGCTCAGGGACCCAGAGAGTGGACTGAGTCCAACGCCCCAGCCAGCAGGTGCCCAGCGGGGTTCCCCACTACACGCTGCAGTCCAAGCCGCCTAGACAGTGGGTGCCCAGCACCAAGACCCCACAAAGACCCAGACGCCTCAGGCCCAGACCCATCCCCAGGCCTGAGCCAAGCTGTCCCCAAGCAGGCCGGGGGCAGATGGGGAATCTTGGCGGGAGGTCAGAAGCAGTGACTTCAACCAAGTTGCCTGATGTTTAAAATGATGAAGACAATGATAATCACCAGATTTCTCCAGAGCATGGAACCTCTCCTTACCAACAAGTGCAAGCCTGTAAACAAGACTCTCTGAATAAACACACTTTAGATAAAGCAGCACACTCTCCTTGCTTCTGCAGGTCTCAGTAGACCTCGCCCAAGTCTGACCTCTGGAAAGTCAGAGAGAAAACCACCCTCCGCTTCCGGAAGCTCCTGAGAAGCTGAAAGCCAGGCTCGCAAATCTGGCTTTTCTGAAAGCCGTTATGGGCAAGACCTGGTGGATCCAGTGGCCAAGTGTCAATGCGCACTGAGCCCCACGCTCGTGGTCCCATAGAGCGCCCTGGCCTGTGGCTGTGGCCTCCGCCTCCCACGCCTCCAGGGAACATGGCCCCACAGCCTGTGACTGGGCTGCTAGTCACACGGTCCCGAGAGAGCCGGTCTGAGTCACGGTCAGACCCCGACTCCAGCACTCAGCCCTCCGGGAACAGCGGGGAGGGACACACCACTGTCCTGGCCGACTCTGGAAAGGGCCTCATTGCAATTTGCTGTTACGTTTTCAACATTTCTCGGTGCACTGATTTTCTAAAAGAAAGGAAACCCTGCAAAGATGTCACCGCTGAGTCTGTACAGCTGAGCTACTGGTTTCCTCAAGAATTCCTTCCAGAAGAATTTTTTTTTTTTTTTAATTTAAATCTTGGGGCATTTTTTTTCCCTTTTTGCATTAGCTACCAGGAAGCTCAAAGGGAAATTCTGTGATCACTTGCAGTGATCAATTCACTCAGGTGGGTCAAATGTATTTATTTGCATCTTTTAAATAATTCTGGTCCTGTTTAAAATTCTTCATGCCAACCCGAAACATGCTTCCATAAAGAGAATTTTTCAATTCTAAGGAAAACAACCTGTTCTCGGCTTATTGAAACTCAGTTGGAAAGGATCCAGTGCAGAGGGGCACAGAGTGGACGCCCCCCAGGTGCTTAGATGCCACTGTAGGTAGTGTTCTGTGTCTGGACTGTGGCAGCTCCCATGGGACAGTGCGGAGGCAACAGCGCAGAGCTCACCCTAACCGCCGCTTGATCGACATCACATGTTTCCGGCGATCAGAGAAAACTGGGATCTCGTGATGATGCGCTGCCCCCGCGTCCTCCACTGCACCAGAAGGCTGGCCCGACGATGCTTCTTTCAGGGCTCGAACCACGGAAAACAGCTGGGCTGACTTGTGAGGTCTGTCCACAGGGACGCAGAGGCCAGCCCGACCCAGACACTCGTATACAGATGGGTTTTGAAGAAGGAACTGGGACAAACTTGCAGGCAGGAAGCCAAGGCAAGACTGCTTCTCTGGGAGCAAGAAGTTACCCAGCAGGTACCCAGGGGCATGATGGCCACACCCACAGGTCAAGGAGACTTAGCCGGGAGATGCCAGGCTGGAGATGCCAGGGAGGCCGGGCTGGATGGCGAGGGAGGCTGGGGGCAGGTCGGTGAGGGAGGCCTAGAGGGCCGCGTAGAGCCTTGCTGACCCAGGGCCTCACACGGCACTTAGCACCTAACTGCCCGCCGTCCACGTTGGTCTTGAATACCAGCACACACAGCCTCAAAGGCTTCTAATGAGCACTAAGGAGTAAAGGAGAAGCCTGTGGGGTCGGCAGCCCCCCTTCCCTCTGAGAGGACACCCCTGGGATGCTAAACCCCCTGTCCAGGCTACATGGCTGATGTGTGGGGACAGGCTCAGGCCTAAAGTCACCCTCCCCCACGCAGCCTCCAGGTGTCAGGATGATAATCCCGTCCTTCAGAGTGGGGGGTCCTCAGGGCCACCCTCCCGGAGACAGAGCACAGATCCCCCCAAGGCCAGAACAGGTCTGGTCAGACAAGTCGGGGAACCCCCACATGTGTCCACTGACCTCCAGATAGAGGGCGTGTGGGGAGGCCGGGAAGGGCACAGACCCAGCGTCCATGCCCTTGGTGGGCGTGGGGCAGGGGTCCACACGGCCCGTTGTGACGGCTCCACTCACTCTACAGAGTTGGCGGAATCCACAAGAGGGCTGAGGCCGTTCTTTTAACCCTGAACACGTGCACAGATGCAGGTGAGCGCGGGACGACCGCATGGATGCAGAAGCAGTCGGGCTTTCAGGGCGTGGGCTCTGTCCTTGCCCCAGAGGGAAACTGAGGGAGGCGGTCTGCCCACGACGAGTCTACTTCCCCCCAACCAGGGGCCGTCAGCCACACCAGACCCCCCGTGCTCGGCCCCAACGCAGATGCATATACCCCTCCCTCCCTCTGGGGACGCTATGCGGCCAGCTCCAGGCTCCACCTCCCTAACAGGGGGAGATGTTGGGCTGGCTTTGTTACTTCTGATGTCTTTCACCTTACAGACATCAAGGGCATCTGTCCAAAGGGGTGCCGGCGGTCACAGAGTCCGCTGCTGCCCCAAGGTCAACAGCAAGCCTCAGCTCTCCAGGGCCCTGAGGAGGGAGGGCATCTCCCAGGAGAAAGGGCAGAAACAAGGGACTCCAGTTGGAGCCATTAGCAGCCCCGGCTCCATAGGAAGTCAGTTCGTGAAGACATGACTTTGACCCATGAGAATCCCCACTCCTTTTTCAGGGAGGCGCTAGCTCGGGAGCAGCCTGTGGTCCTGGCAGGGGACCGCGGCCCGCATCCAGCGGCAGGGCAAGGGGGCCAGGAGGCTGTCCAGGGCCAGACGCTGGGGCAGGATGCCAGAGGGCCCCCGGGCAGCAAGGACACCACGCACCAGCCCCCCTTACGCATGTCTGTCCGCGTCTGCCCACCCGCCGAAGGGACCCCTGGCGCCCAGTCCTGCGCCCCAGACAGCACCAGCCCGTCCCGCCTCACCTGGCTGTGGGCGCCTGGAGGCCCCCCAGCACCGCCGGGGCCGGAGCCGGAGCCGACGCTGGAGTCCCCTGAGAGCCCCCCGAGATGCTCCCCTCGTGGTCATCCTGCCGTCCTCCAGGGACGCGCTCGGCAGCAGAAGCTTTGAATCTGCAGACAGGCTCATGCAAGGGCCGAATGTGGCCTGGTGTCAGGGCCACACGGTTCCCACCTCCCTGCAGCCCTCCACCGGGACAGTGGAAAACAGGCGGGTGCTGGCGGCGAGGGGGAGGGCGCCCCACCCGGCGCTGCACGCTGAGCTGGGCACACGACCTCCAGTGACCTTGGTTTACCAAGTCCTGAGGAAGAACAACAGAGCGTCCAACCAGCTCACAGAGTGACTGGCCTCCACCTCCAGGCCTCAAGCTGCAGTGACCGTGGGCTCGACAGTCCGCCGGGGAGCCCAGAACCACCTGCCCACGAGGGCCCGCCCACAGAGGCTGCCGCCGGCCCCCGCCTGTCTCCACGCCCGGCAGGACGCAGGACGCGCAGCCATCTACTTGCAGGTCTTGGGTGTTTCCTTCCTGGGAAAGGGGCTTGTGCAGGCTGGGGCTCCCAGTGTCAGGGACCTGCTCCAACTGCCCGAGCCAAAAACACCTTCCAAGCTCAGGAAGTCTCAAGTTCAAACAAACAAGTACAAGGCGGGAGGAAGGGAGGAGAACCAGCCCCAGGCCTTCTTGAAATAAACGGGTAAACTCCGTCCGTGACCCCTGCATGCGGTCCAGCTCGGGAGAAAGGAAATGATAGCACTGCTTTGCTTGGCTAGTGACACTTCCCAGCGGTGCCTGACGTGCCCCTGGCCCACTGGCTCCAGACCCTGGTGCCCACCGCGTCCGAGTGGGTGAGCACCCAGCACTGCCCGGACCGTCCCAGCGCGTCCTGCTGCATCAGCTCCGATCCTCACCCCTCCCGTGCTGGGCAGCTCATTCGGTGCTGCACGAGGCTCTGAGGGCCTGAGTGCACGTATCCTATGCTCAAGGTCACGGGGTAGAAACTGATGGAGGGTCAGCACTAGGGTCTGGCTGAAGGGCCATGCTCGGCCCCACGCACCACGGGCACCCCTTCCTCCACCAACACGACTAGAGCCGGCCAAGCTGGGTCGCCGCCACATAATGCGTTTGTTTCATTTTGGTGCCTTGGTGCCCACCCTCCTCCCATGAGCGTTCACAGGCTGGGGGACCCTTCCTGCTGGAGCTGGAGGCTGTGGGGCTGAGAGGACCGTGTCCGGCCCAGCCTGGAGGAGACAGCAGCCCCGGTGTCCACGTTCAGCTTCCCTTGGTTAGAAGCAGACTCACACCTCTGAGCAGGAAAGGTGCCGAGAGCGCGAGGCAGGTACTAGCTCCACTGGCCTCCACCCGCCTGCACCCCCGTCTGGGCTGTCGGCTGTCCTGCGCCAGCCTCCGAGTCCCCGGGGATGCAGCAGGTGAGGCTGGCTCCAGGTGCCACATCCATGAGAAGCAACAAGGAACAAACCACGCTGGGGGGCCGTCCCCCAGAAGCAAGGGAAAACCATGACCGGGCCTCAACGCTGTCCATCCCGGCCCCTCCGCGCTGGCTTCCAAGCAGAGGCCGTCCCGGCGCACACTCGGGAGGAAACAGATGCGCGTTTGATGTGACGGGTCCAGGACGCGAGCCCTCTTCCTGTGAGCAGGGACCGGAGCCCTCAGCTCTGAGCGGCCCACGGCGGCTCAGGGAGGATGTGTGGAAACACAGCTGCTCTGTGTCCACGGGAGCTGCCCTCCACTAGCGGTGTGGAGCTGCAATGAGCCACCTGTCACGCACCGAAGCTCCCCCGCGTCTATCCTCTCCCCATGTAAGTGTGACGGTGCGATGGCCCGTGGCTCAGCCTTCAGCATGTGGCGCCGCTGACCCAGGGTCTCCGACTTCTCCAAATATGTCTTAAAAATGTTACTAATGAAAACCTTTTCCAAAAATCAGTTCTGAGACACAAACCGGCTCACAGTCTATTGGTCTCTCTGTCTTGTAGGTTCACAGCCTTCAGGTTTGGGAAATGTCTTGAAACCACGGATTTCTCCAGCCTTCAGGGGGCATTTCCCTCCCTAAACTCTCCAGTTCTGAAACACAGACCACCCAAGTTCTTGGTCGCCGGTCCCTGGCCACCCAGGTGTGCTGAGCGCAGCCGGGGGAGGCTAGAGGCATCGGCAGGCCATTTGAGAACTAGACTGACCCTCTGGGGACCCCAAGAGTCTATTTTACTCAACATGACCTTCAGCTACTGTCAAGAAATTCCTATCGATAACTGGCATGGTTTTTGGCAGTAAAGAGCCTTAAATTAATCACGTCAGGGGAGCAGAGAGTTATGTAGTGCAGATCTTAAATGAGCTGCTGGGTGTATGGAAATTCGGCCCTGGGAGGCAGATGCCTGGCTCACGGCTGCGTGAGGCTACAGCCAGGCTTCAGGACTCAGGTACAACAGGTTCTTCTTTCTTTTTCTTTTTAAGACACAAAGGATGGGAAACAGCCCACGTGTGCCCACTTGGGGCAGTGGATTTCCACCAGGCCAGCCCACTTGGGGCA